TGAAAATTTGAGACCACTAGGAATTGCCATACATGGCTGTAAAAGAAATTCGTAGATGTTTGGCATCAACGCAAACCCTTTCCATTTCAATTGCTGTTCAAACATCTGCTGATAAGTAGAAGAATTTGCTTCAGACCTTATCATCAGATACAGAATTCAATCCCATATCAGAAACAAGATGATGAGTGTTAGGGTCTCTAATCAGTGAAAATTTCAGCTCATTATAATACAGAGCGATTTGGGTTGAGAGTTTTCAAAAAAATTTAAATTAAACTGCAAATACCCATAATTTATAATTATTATACACAGCGATTTGGGCCAAGAGCTTTCAAAAAAATTTCAAACTTACCAGCCACGGTCAAAAACTAGTTCAATCTAAACACCATAAGTTGAAATTCAATCAACACAATACATCACAAAAAAATCCTTTCCGAATTGAAAAAAAATCGTATCTACATAATGGGATTGTTTATGTTTTATTTCGATGTGTTTACTACACTTGTTAGAGGGATCCTCAATGACCATTTAAATACAAAAACACCAAGAACAGAACAATTACCTATTAAAATTGAATTACCACGAATAGCTCTCAAAGTGCGACAGGGAATAATTGAAAAATCTATAACACATGGAAAGAGCAAGATTATACAGTGGCTACAATAAAGCCAAGTTTCCCATTTGCGAGAACATATGTTACAAATTTGAAACGAAACAAGTTATTGCCAGGTGGCGCACAAATATAAAGACATTTTTACCTCAATTTATTGTCATTTCAAGCCAACAACTGGGCTTATGTTGTTTGTGTTGCACAGAAACCACGTGCAAATATTTTATATTCTTTGCCATTACAAATTTAAATTAAATAATAAATATTTACAGAAGCTTATCTCGAAACTTATTAATGATCCAACTTTTTCTAATAATTCTAAAAATTCAATTAAGCCATACTTACCTTTGAAATTTAAAAGTTTAATAAAATTAATGAGTCCAAATACTCTACTACTTTATTTTTATTTGTCAGCACTGGTGTTTGTATAATTTGAAAGTTTCATAGTTTTACGACGCTGTTAGAATTTTAATTTTAGTAATTAAATTTATGAAAATTACAACTATTATTGTCCAGGTTTATAGCTCAGCATTATCTTAATTGAGTATTATGACTTTCTAGCCCTTGTCAGTGTATTTTTACTACTAGTTACTTGGTTTGCTGAAATAACATTTTCAATTAAATCGCAAAAAAAAATGTAGGTATTACACACTTGAAAAATGCATTTCCGGGATTTACATGAAAAGATTGCCGGTCTCTCAATCATCTCTCGGTTCTTTATATCTGTCAGCCGGATACAACTGGTTTATCTTCGGGCAGGGCACAAAGCCGGTCGTTGTCCGACGCGCCAGAGGGGTTCCAGATACGATGCATTGTGAGGTGATACAATTTCCATCATGGAAAAGGCTTACATGAAAGGAGAGATTAGGTGCACACAGATTTATTGTATGTAGTGTACAAGCACTCGAGGGCTTAAAATATAATTTTATAGAGAGGTTCCATTCGGTTGCAATTTTGAAAGATGTGAGAGTTTTTTTGGTTAACCTGTTATTGTGAAATGTTTCAGACAGACAGGAATAAAAAGCACACACACAAAAATAGAATACTTAAATAAAGAATGAAGGCTTTCACGGCCGGTCAAATCTAGTAAAAAAAAAATTTCCGGTGGTTCATTAGTATTTCTATCTAACATTTCGTCTACTGCTGCAGTAGACATCTTCAGAGGTGGTGTGGTAGAGGACTAGGTGTTCTCTTCCGTGTTCCTCCGATGACTGGATTCGACGTTGTTGGATCTGCGTTATTTATATCCAGGGTTGTGGGCGTGGCTTGTACTACGCTATTTTTCTTGTCTCGTTCTCGGAAAGGATGGGTCTTTGTTTTTTGGAGAGCTGGCAACCAGCTTTTGTTGAGGTTCATGCCCTTCTGTTGAAGTTGTTGTGGTGTTTCTTGATCTCATGGCTTCTCTAAGGAGTCTGGTATAAAAATGTTTGGTTTTATCCAATGCTTGAACCTGGTCGAAACGAATGACATGGTTTGTTTGTGTAAGAACGTGTTCGACGATTGCTGATCTACCTATTTGTCCCTGCTGACAGTTTCTTTTGTGCTCTTTGGCCTTGGTGTTGAAAGAGCGTTTGGTTATTCCTACATGGACAGATCCACAAGAGCAGGGAATTCTATAGACGCCAGCAGTTTCAAAAGGTGCCCTAGGATCCTTGGCCAATCTTAGACTTTTCTGAATTGTTCTTGTGGGCTTGTAGATAGGCTTAACGTTGTGTCTTTCTAGCGTTCGTCCTATGCGATCTGTGACTTTTTTGATATGGGGAAAAAAGGCTCTCCCTGCCATCTGTGCTGGTTCCTTGTTATTAGTTATTATTGCTTCGGTCTTATGGCTCTATTTATCTCCTGCTTGGAGTACCCATTTCGTTCAAGTGATGATTTTGGGTATTGCAGCTTGTTCTGAAGGTATCTGGGCTCACAAATCCGGATTACCCTGTCAAATAGAGTTTTAATGACTCCTCTCTTTTGCCTAGGATGGTGATTGGATTCCTTGTTGAGGTATCTGTCCGTATGCGTCGGCTTCCTATATACTCTGTGTCCCAGTTTACCTGAGGGTAATCTTTCTAAGAGGACGTCGAGGAATGCAATTTTGTTGTCCTTCTCAACTTTAATCGTAAACTGTATCCTGGGTTCTATTGAGTTTAGATGATTAAGGAAGTTTTCGAGCTCCGCCTCTCCATGGTTCCAAACAACAAATGTGTCATCTACATAGCGACACCAACAAGTAGGTTTCTTTGTGGCCGTTCGCAGTGCCATTTGTTCGAAGTGTTCCATGTAGAAGTTGGCGATAACCGGGCTGAGTGGACTCTCCATTGCAACTCCACCTGTCTGCTCAAAAAATTCATTTTGCCATTGAAAGTACGAAGTCGTCAGACAGTGGTGAAATAAGTTGTTGATTTCCTCTGGAAAGACATCTTTCAGATACTCTATGGCCTGATTCACTGGTACCTTAGTAAACAATGAGACGACATCAAAACTAACCAGAATGTCGTTTGGTAGTAGAGTGATGTCACTGATCTTTTTGATGAAATGAGTTGAGTCTTTAACATAAGAGCTGGATTGGCCAATCCGTGGCTGAAGGAAGGTGGTGAGGTATTTGGCTTTGCTGTATGTGGGCGAATCTATTGCACTAACAATGGGCCTGAGTGGGTTGCCTGTTTTGTGAATCTTAGGAAGCCCATATATTCTAGGTGGTAAGGCTTCATATTTGATGAGTTTCCTTATGTTTTCCGGGTCCAACGGTAGCGTACGGACGAGTTGATTTGTTTTTCGCAATATAGAAGCAGTGGAATTGCGAAGATAAAACCTTGTTATTATTATTGTTAAACGACATTATCACTAGATGGTTCTGTAAAGACATATATTATTAGGTGGAGATGTTCTTTTTGTTTTCGAAGTCGATGATTGACGTTGCTATGCCAGTACTGAAAAATTTAACAAAGACAAACGTACTTATTTTCTTGAGTTAAAAAAAAAAAACATTTCTAGAGTTTTTTTTTACCTTAATATTTTACAAGTCAGAGAGTGAAAATTAAAAGGTTCTTTTTGAGACGACACGCAGCAGAGAATAGTCATATTTGTCTTGGTCTAGCTTAAAACCTACCTTGATCCATGGTGAAATGAAACCATGTGGTCGTTCACTTTTAAAATAAACTTTGCCTTATAAACCCGCAATAATGGGGTAAGTTATTAATCTTTTTAATTAAATAAAAGGAAAACTAATTTCCATTTTCTTTTAAAACAGTTTTACCTTCTGTTGATGAAAGTTTGATAAATTCTTGACCTTTAACTTCTATCTTCAATATTTGAAATGTGGTTCACTTTACCTGGCTAACCAACAAGCAATGCAACAATAATTCAGACCATGGCAACTTAACACGAACACATTTGCATAACTTGAAAAATTGTAATGCATCTCCATCTTTTCATGGCATCCGATTCACCATGCCTTATCAAGTTGTGATATTCATCAAATTCAAGAAATGCATGGAGCAACCACAGGAAATGTGAGATTTTGTAATTTCTTATTAATGATGTGGCCTCTAAACATCATTAATAAAAACCAGATTGGGGAATTTATAAGGTTTTATTCTTTACAATAATGTTTTCTGTATTCACTCACTCACTGATATTTTATTAAAAAAATTTTCTTGATTCTTTACTTTACTGGTATTTGGTGAGTTAAGACTCACTCTGAAACTGCGAGGCTTATTTTCCAATTTTTGTTTAAACAGGAGATCCTATTATATCGAGATTATTGGGCACTTTTGCATTTTATTTATTAATTTAAATTCCTTCATGTACTTATAACCCTAAGTTTCTAAAAAAAAAACCAAAGAACTAGGTAAGTTATTAAATTTTGGTCTAATAATAATTTTAAAATATTTATTTTGAATATTTTTTTTCTCAAAATCATTAGTTTGTATTACTATAATATTTAAATTGATGTTGGCGCCCTCTTTTATTTTTTTTTCTAAATTGCCATCCTTTACTAAATAGAACTCCCCAAGCTAATTAATCTATTAGTTCCATAAAACTCACTGAGCTACACTTCTATCTTATTTGTGTACGTTTCAGGGATCTCAAATTTTCTTTGGGATCAGTGTTTCGTTACATAAAAATGGCGCCCAACGTGGGGCAATTTAGAATTTTTTTGAGCGAAAGGGCCAGGAATCTCGATATAATTTTTTTTGTATTGTCCTTGATTTGTTGCCATCCTATGATACACATATTTAGGGAGATTTTAAGGGTTATCTTGAGTATAATTTTTTTATCCAGATTTATTTACTTATGAAATTGTCTGCGAAAGCGAAAACTTTTTTCAAATATAGATTCTAAAATTCATGGAGAGAACTCGGAGGAATATTTTTGTAGTCAACTCTTCAAATTAATCAAAATGGCTTACAAAAGATTTAGATTAAAATACTTGCTCTTAGAAGAAGTAGATTATGAAATGAGAATTCGTAGAATTGCCTCTGGTAACAAAAATGTAGTGGAGAAAAGGTTTTTATTAACACGTTTGTTCGAATGAGTGCCTGAAGATAAAATTATAGATACTGAATTTGATTATAATGAATAAAAGCAAAAAAATATAGCTGCTAAGTACGAATAATATTAAAACGTTAGTTGATGAATTTGATGAGGAAACGAGAACTGATACTCAGTTTAAAAGAATTGATAGTAAGATTTTTCATTATACTCTTAGGACGCGTAGAATGATAATCGCTGAGGGTGATGTTGACGGTGAAGATTTTAAAAAGGAAACTGTTGCTGAGTTAATTAGTCTAGAGGCTGAAAAAAAAACTCAGGACAAGCCCCAGCAAGTTGCTTCTTCTACCCCTACTCATTCTCTTCCTAATAATGTTTTTGACATAACAACATATCCAAGCACTAGTAGTAAATCTTTTCCAATATATAAATTAAATATTACATTTGTTGGTCAGAATACAAGTATTACTAATTTTTAACAAAGAAAATTTTTTTTTTAGAAAGAATTTCAGAGTCTAGAGGTATAGGAAAGAATGAGCTTATTAAATCAGCTATTGAACCATTTTCTGAGGATGCTATTTATTGGTACCGAAGTATTAAAGATCAATTAACAGACTGGGATTGTTTAGTTAGTGCATTAAAACAGGATTTATTTGTCATTCATTTGTAAAACGTCATTTATCAAGTCAAAACATAAACAACGAAAATTGATTTTTACCAGTTACTGGCTCTACCGACTTGTAAAATTGACAGATAAACTATAATAGTTATTTACCTAACAAATGCGGAAAGTGATACTTTACCGCACGTAACGGCAGTTGACCGAACGACGCAAAGCGGAGTTCGGTCAAGCCGTTAAGGGCGGTAAAGGCACTTTCCGCATGTGTTAGGTACAAAATTTTACCTATGAGCATCTACATCTCCAAAAAAAGGCATTGATAATATTAATTAGTGAATCATATTAATTAATGGAATTAGATAAGATTTAGAAATTATCAAAAATCCTTTTTCTGAAAAAGAGAGGATTTTTGATCATAAATATCAAATTCTACTTTACCGCACACTTTGGATTCTACTTTACCGCACACTTTGGATTCTACTTTACCGCATACTATGCTGTAAAGTTAACTTTACCGCACACTATGCGGTAAAGTGCACTTTACCGCATAGTGTGCGGTAAAGTGATACTTTCCATTTGCAAATACGTGCGGTAAAGTGCACTTTACCGCACGCTCGTAGGTAAAAACTTTTTACAAGTCAGTAGGGTCAGAGAATTATTTATTAAAATTGTATTACCTATATGTATTAATTTTTTATTTATTGTTTAAGATTGTTTACAAATGAATAACAAATAAATTATTGTACATCATACGCCAGGTATCAGTTTTTACTGGTGATTGAAGGAAATGACTAGCGAGCCGTCAGGCGAGCTTGTCACCTTCAAGAATTATCATTATTAGCCAGTTTTACCTGGCTAATAATGTAAAATACTATATCTTCCCATTAATTATGATGACAGGCTTATGGATCAAATGAGAAATAAAAAACAGGGTCGTAGCGGAAAGGTCGGAGTTTTCGTTCCGGTTATGTTGTCTCTTTTGAAGAACAACATACTAAAGGGCAAACGAAAGGGTCAAAAGGTAATTATAACAGACGAAGCAAAAAATTCTTTTGAAAAATTGAAAGAAGCATTAGTGTCTACATCTATATTAACTCAACCTGATTTTAAACAAGGTTTTATAATACAAACAGATGCATTGGATGTAGCTTTGAGTTCCTGTCTAACTCAAAAAATAGACGGCATTGAAAGGGTTATATGTTATGCATCTCGGTCTCTATCTAATTGAGAGCGTAGAGTTTTTACAGTTACAGAAAAAGAATTAGAATTTTTTGCTCATAATAACTATTATTTGTACTTTAAAACAAGAGAACCTATAGGGTCTTGGAATTCAAAAAATAAAGATAACGTGTAGCCCCTTTGTGTGTAAATGAAACCACTCAAATTCCAGCAAACAATAATTTTATTTAATATTTGTTCACAATGTAAGTAACAATGTTGTTGGTGTGACGTCACTCTAGCTGATCCAGACTCCAAATGGTGATGATGTCGAGTAGGTACCCAGAAAAAAATAAGGCAGCATCAGGTTCACCAAGATTTGGAATATTGAAGCCCTGAATTCTGTCAGAAAGCGAGTGTCTTGCAAAGAAGATTTAAATTGAAATTAGTTTATTATAAAACTATTATTGTGCAGACACTCCTTTCCAACAGAATCAGGTAAGTATGAACAACTATTGCAAATTCGAGAATTATTTTAATATAAAAAAAATAACAATTAAATAATACAAAAAAAAAAATAGGTAATAAAATAAAAAAAAATCGTAATAATTAGGTGAATATACAGCAAGATTAAAGATAAATGCTCGTTATAATTGAGCAGAATACTGCTTTTCTAGCACTCGCACTAAACAGGCAAAATTTAAATAAAAAGAATGTCAGAAAAATTGAACAAGATAAACAAAATAATTTTCTAGATTTTCCCCAAATAGATAAATCTGCCTTTTTAAGTAAGGGTACCTACTATAGGTACCACAAGATAAAACTGAGAGTGAAATTAATTAAATCCAGAAATTGTCAAAATTCTTATGATGTTTTAATCAAAACTTTTTAAATGAATTTTTGACCTATACGGATTTTTATATAAAAAATTAAACCTTTTTTTTAGCACTCTCCTTCTCGAGAAGAAAATGAGAGAGTCAAACAATAAATGGCTATACAGGCTTCTGCATCGATTCGGTAAAATGATAGGGATGGACACACAAATTTGGTTTGAACCGACTCTATTTAGAGCAAATGGTCCAATAATCCCACACTAACAATTGATTCTGAAAAGCAGAGCAGAAGTACCTATTTATTAGCCAAAACTCTGAATTGATTCACCTCAGAAAAAACGTGCGACCACCAATTACAAAATGGAGGCACACAATTAGATAAAAAAATTTAAATATAATATTTGAATTTCAAAGGTAGATAAGATTTATCAGGTAAAAACTCAACAGTGATATGATAGTATACACTGATGGTAAAATAAATTGAAAAATATTAAGGGAAAATCTAGAAAACTGAAGAAAAAAATTACAAAAATAAAATCGACTTGCCTGTCTAGTAGTTCCGGCAGAAAAGACACCGTTTTAGAACCTAAACCCTACAGGAAACCAATCGTGTATTTTTTTATACTTAACTGCGTAGTAGATCACGATTCACTTCATCAATGAAATACCACGCTGATTAAAAGGGAAAAGATAAAAACACACTAGAATTATTTTAATTGTTTACAAATTACAATAATTCAAATTAAGGTTATGTTGAGAACACAAAACCACTAATTAATTAGGTCATTAAGGCTATGGTCCGAATATAACCAAACGTTAACCAAAGTAACCGAAACTGTTGACAGATGGTTACTGAAAATTCCGGTTACTTGGGGAACGCAAATATGAAATAAAAAATAATTGACAGAAATTACAGATAAAACCAACAGAACCGACATCCGATGGCCGGTAACTATTTTGACATTTGGTTAACCAGATTTCAGAAACCGAAGTCCAAAAGTAACCACTTTTCCAGGTACCAGAGTAATTTGATTATTTTCGGACCGCAAAACCATTACCCTGGTTATATTCGGACCATAGCCTAAGTTAAAAATAATTATTTCAGAATCAGAAGTTAGAGAAAGACAGAAATATATCTATTTGCTAAAAGTGAGATAAATATAATTTCTTTAAATAAAAATACGAATGTCTGTCAATGAGAAATAATAGAAATCATATTTTAAAAAATAAATTTATCAGGTACTAGATGGCGGTACCTTCTTTTAATAATAGATATTTGCATTTTTATGCTCATAATGGATAGATAGCAATACTGATATTATATTGAATTAATTAAATTTTGTAGATACTTTCAAATGATTTAAATAATGAATTATTATTTTGCTGATTCTGAAATGACAAAAATACAACTTTATAATGAAAATTAGAAGAAATGGAACATGTAACGTGAATGATAAATTTATCGTAACAGGGGTTATAATATAAGGGACAAAATATCTATCTATTTTTTATACTACTTGAGTGCGAGTTTCTCTCTATCAACTCCCAAAGCTACAATCCCTGTAAAACAGACAGTTGTGACAATATAAACATGGTCAGGGTTCTGGAAGGCACACATAAACTACTCTAAAATGCGGAATCACACATTATTTTCATCTAATTTTTCGTGTTGCATTTGTTCGTTTATTACTACATGTGTAGTAATTACGTTAAGCTGATAGGAATATTTTTGTTATGTGTTGATTTTTGATAAAACTTTTCTACGTTATATTTGCTACTAATGCACTCTATAACAACAATGACGCAGCAATATGAGTACTCAGTGGAAGCTATTTTAGGGTGCTTTAATGATTTCCATCAACACAATCAAGATGCTTTCAAGATTCATTTCGCTTTACATTCAATCCGTTTTTTTTTTTTTTTAATCAAGTTTAATTTTTATCTTACCCACCATAAAAAAATCCGGTCCAGTAACAAAATTCCCGTTGTCCTATCCATTTAAAGGTCCTTTTTAACTCAATCACAGTCTCAAATTTCCGAATCGGAGCGTACGTGACCGGATTATCTCTCTAAACAGGACACAAAGGAGATCGCCCGGTCACTCTTCCAGAACCGTTCAATATGCAGCATTGCAAAGTGAAACAAATCAGACCGGGGAGACCTCCGCACAAAAGAATATCCAGAGTCGTTTTGTTGTCGATGGAATGCTTTTCGAAAAGAAAATGTAATTTTGGGGAGAGCAGGGCTTGTTGTTGCGGACGGTATTGTGCCAGGGGTCTCCAGGTGACACCAATAATACCGTATAAGAGGATATAAAAATGTCTCACATTTTCAAGTGAAATATTTTCAGATTTAGATAAGCTATATTTTTATTTCAAAAATATATGGAGCTTACTATGCTTCTCACGCTTGTACTAAAATAAATTAAAAATTATCCAGATTGATCGTGAGCAAACCCAATTTTCTACCCTTCCTATTACGGCAAACTAATTAAAAGTTACTATTAAATTGCGGGATGGTTAAACGAAGGCATTGGTTCGTAATTTTGTTTGCTCCCGGAAAAGTAGGTATTTACTCTTGCTTAAGGGTCGTGCCACTACCGATGATGTAAAAAATAAGAACTAACACAGTAATTTGAGGCTTTGTTTAATTTGAAAGTAATATATTGTATGAGTAAAATTTAGTAAATTAAGTAAATATTTCTCTATAACATGACAATCTCGCATTTTTCTCCACGTCCTTAACATTTTCTCTCTCGGATCAAGTTGCGAGATATTTTTCATGTTAGTTGTAGTTTTTTTTTTTCTGGTTATTCAACACACGAATCCGTGCGACCATAAAAACCATCAATATTCTACACGTACTCCCCATTTTCAAAGCCCGCAAATGTATTACTATTGTATTTTTGCTGCAGTTGCTGTTCGTTTGTGATGGGTTATATTTGATTAGTCGTATCACCGGGATTGTTTGCTGAAAAGACACT